AATTGTGCTGTGTTGTTTCTGACTGGATCTGAGTCAAATACTTCAGGGCTTGCCTCAGGTAGGAATAAATATGAAGATGCAAAAAGCGACAGAAAAGCATTGAGTATTCTGTATGAACTCTTGTTTGTGCACTGTCATAACACTTGCTGAACAGCAGATCCAGAGCTTGTCAGTTCCTTCTTTGGCTCTTACTGAATTTTCTTTTCATAGAATCATAGAATAATTTTGGTTGGAAAAGACCTTTAAGATCATCAAGTCTAACCATTGTCCCAGCAATGCCAAGGCCACCGCTGCCCCATGTCCCTCAGCACCACATCTACACGGCTTTGAAATCCCTCCAGGGATGGGGACTGCACCACTGCCCTGGGCAGCCTGTGTCAGGGCCTGACAACCTTTTGGGTGAAGTAATTGTTCCAAATACTTAACCTAAACTTCCCCTGGCACAACTTGAGGCCATTTCCTCTGTCATACCACTGGTAACTTGGGAGAAGAGACCAATACCCACCTCGCTACAGCCCCCTGTCAGGTAGTTGCAGAAAGCAAGAAGATGGTATTTTATCTTCTCATATAAGTGATCATTTTACCTTTTATAGACTGAAGCAGCAAAATATTCACTACTTAGGAAAGCAGGCTGACCTAGTCTCAGATACAAAGCTGATTTATGTCAAATTTATAGGGAGGACATAAGTGCAACAGCAATAAAAGTACTGGGGAAAGAGAAGAGAATAAGGTTAAAGAAAATACGGGCCTATGATGATAGGAAATTATCGGAAATTGTCTCATCGGAAATAAATGTATGAATTAGGAGGCCAAGGCAAGACTTCCAGGTGACCTCAGAGGCCTGTGGCTCTGACCTGGCCTGACAGCCACATGCCAAGGAACCCCTCCAGGGCTGGCAGCTTGGTGGGAGATGTTAGTAGTACCAGAGACAAAAGCTACCAGGCATTCCAGAGCAAAGCCACGTGTGCCGCACCAAACGTCAGGCCTCCACTGTGTTTCCTGCACAAATCCAATGCCTATTCATGCACAAAAGCTGTTCTTTCCAAAGCTTTTCAAGTGCCAGAAATAAGAGATTATTATGACTTCATGTCATGTTGAAAGACAGGTGGAGGAGAGCACGATGTTTGTGTTGGATTAAAACGTCTGCTGAAATCATTCCTGTCATGGCTAATTGATGTTGCATCTGTCTTTAGATTGTGACTACTGATAAAAAAAAAAAAAAAAGGCTGAAGATCTTATTCAGAGAAATAATTACAGTTGTACATTGGTGGATACAAAATTGAAGTACACGGGGGGGGAAGGGAGCTACATCCTATAATTTATCAAATTCCTACATCCCTGAAAAATAATGAGATGCTGGGCAGCATGCAGGCCCTGCTGTAGAGGCTACTGTCAGGGGGATAGCAGTGGTCAAAAATAGGCCACTGATTCTCATTTATTCCATCCATTTTTGCTCTTCTGTTGTGTTTGGAGTATTAGTTTCCAGCTATCTAGAGACAAAGCAGAAAAGCAATGGCAGGCTTTATTAAGAGCTCCAGACTGAATCCCCAAGCAAAAGTGCAGTTGCACAAGTAAGCTGGAGAGGGGAAAAAAAGGAATTCTGCTTAGGTCTGACTTTCAGGAATTTCACCCTCCCAGGTCCTTCAGTGTGATAGTCACAGGCAGGACTAAATCTGCATTACTTTGACTTCCATCTGAAGCCATTGAAGTTTATTAATGGAATAATGGCTCTTCAATAGATGACTTGCATCCCAGTTGTATGGCTTGGCTTTTTTTTTTTTTTTTTTTTGCTTTTCATGCTGATTGTGTGGATCCTAACTGGACCCATCACAGCCCAATTTGTAAATTTTAATACTAAGAACCAATTAATGGAGTCACCAGACACACACTTCTCTAGCCACTGGGCAGCAGAACTGAACCATGGGGTGCTCTTGCCTTGGGTCTGCCTTACTGCAAGGGAATGCCAGTGTCCTTTACCCATGTACAGTGGATAACTATAATGTAAACTATATGTATTTAATGTACAATTCACCCCCAGAAGATTTTTTAATAAGGTCTTGGAAGTGTAATTTCAGACTAGTATCTGTAATTGTGAGCCACAGCCTTGGGCAGGAAGGTAATTCACTGGTATCTAGGCAGTAGAGTTCATGTATGGCACTACTTCCTGCAGCTTCAAGGACTTCTTCTGATAGTTGTCTTTCTAATTTCTACATCATGCTTGTGAAACAAGGACTTTGTTCATAAATCAGAAATTTGTGGTTGTAACATGAGACACTACAGAGATGTGTAAACTTCAGCATTCTTTATATTCCTGGAAATGGAAAACTAATTGCTGATCACAAAGGGCCATCAGCAAGTTCCTAAGTTTAATATTAAAGCTTTACAAAGAAAGAAGATTGCTGCTCTGCTGAATTTGATTGTAAAGTAGCTGGGAGGGATGGACTCCACCTTCTCATGCTGTCAGGTTAGGGAATCGTAAAATTAAGGTGCTATTTTTTAGCACAATTCCACAAGATGTGCATGTCCAGATGCAATTTTAACTTCTCATTTACATTTGCAATTCAGTGTGTGTAGGAGCCTTCAAAAATGAAGTCTTCTGTGAGAATTAACTTAAAGTAATATAAAGTAAGAAAAAATGATTGCAGCACCTTCTTGCTTGTCTTGTATAAGTAAATAACAGCTGTGATGGGTATCAGTGTCTTCTAGAAGGTTTCCTTTTCCCCCTCTATATTTCCTTACAACAATTGGCTTCACAATGACTCACTGCCTTCGTTAGGAGCGGGAAGACATCCCTCATTATTCATTACTAAAGGAAGGACTTTGCTGCTGCAAAGGACAACCATGGCATTCTCATTCAGCTACCTCTCCAGAGAAAGGAGGCAATGTCATTCTTCCCCAAACTTGGCTGAGAGAGACAAGAAATAATGCTGTTTAATTGTCTCCGTTTATAAATAGCCCATTCACAAGGAAAGAATTGTATTTTCAATGCTGCAGTCAGGAGGAAAAGATGCACATTTTTCTAAATTTGTCTCTGAATTTCATTTCTGGGAGCTTGTGCTGAGACTCTCAAAAGTATAAATGATCATATATATGTATGGATAACTATGAAATGCCTTTATTTACAATTTATTGTGTTTCTTTTTAATTATAGAGTACTATACATGTATTGCATAAATGCACATACACAGCATTTGCTGTTTAAGTAATTCAAGGATATACTTGATTTCAAATGGAGTAGGAAATATTTTTTTTAAATGGTAGGATTTTTTTATTTTACTAGTACAAATGCTCCTTGTCTCTTTTTGCATTCTTTTTTTTTCAGATTTGTTTACTTAGGTATTAAGGTTTTGTGTTTTACTGTGTTTTTATTGTACTTTACTTTGTTTTTATTAAGCTCTACAGCATGGACCATGGCTCTATAAATCAAGCTATGATCATGTATTACTAGGAGCCCCATTTCAAACAGTACTTTTTGCCAGACATGGTTAAGATTTTCTAGGAAGGGACATTGTAATTGTGTGATTAGTCTTTAGAAAAGGCGAATTTTGGCTCTGCAGTATTTCATACTGTATTGGCTTCAGAGATTTATAAGACCAACTCAAAACTGCACTGTAAGTGTGTTTATAATTACTTTTAGCTGATATAATAATCCTCAAAGTTTGGTGACTGTAGAGATCACAGCTTCACAAATGCAGCCCATTACCTGTAGCATCCAGGTGACGTTATCAGAGGTGGAGGAAATTACTTGGGATTGTATTTCTTCTTAGCAATGCACTAATCCAACCTCTGGCTGAGGCTGAGGCTCTCAGAGCCCTTGTCTGCATTTGTCCCATTATGCAGCGAGGACATGTACATGGATGATAAAGAACATCTTCATGTTGAAAGGTGAACTGGGGCATGTCAGTACCATCAGATCGTGGTGGCACAGTTTTAAGATGCCCAGCGTGGTGATGTTGTTAGGAAAATTTTCAAGCCAGTTGGTGATTCGTTTTTTTGTTATCAGTATCTACAGGGCTACTGCTAGTGCCCCTCCCTGCAGCCAGCAGTGCTGAATGTGTCTCTTACTTCATGATCCTGCAAATCTTTTTCAATCCAAGGAGCCCTTGATGAGGCAAATAGCTCTGCTAATGGCAGGTATTGCTGCTGTCTTATCCCAGTGGAGTACGAACCTTTTGGACAAGCAGTGGTGGGCAGGATCAGATCCTTAGATTAGATTTGTATGTGACAAGCCATGGCACAAAGTGGTTTTTCAAAGCCACCAGTTAAAACAAACAATGCCAGGAGCTTCATGTTAAGCTTTCTGGGTATGTGCTTCTTTCAGTGTTTCCAAGCTTTGCTTTTCATAATAATAAATATCATCCACCCTGGGAATCACAGGGAGCTGGATTGGCAGGTCTCAGTCTCCATTTAACATTCATATGATCAGCCTGTGCCCACCTATGACCACTTGCTAGATCAGAAGTTGGTTCATTAACACAGAACTTGGAGAGCTCTGGGTGATGTGGGCTGTGTTTGTAATAACCCAGAGCATGGTTCTTTAAGCCAGAAAGTGAAAAACACGCAGCACAGAACTGAATTTACATGTGTACAAGAATCCAAATAGTAGATATGTTTTTGCAGAACCCTGATTTTTCTTTTTTCAGTCTTCCAGTTCACAACACTTAAGTAATCAGGCTTCAATCAATGGCATATTTCCAGACCTGTTTTTGAGATATTTGTGACTTTAAAGCAGTTCCTGACCTTCATCTCTCAGATGACATGCAGAGTTTCTTTAATGGTGCTAAGGACTGAACAGGAGCCCACTAACACCTACAGAATTCACCTCTTTGGCATTTTCTTAATTTTCACTTTATTAAGCAGATGAAAGGATAGGATAGCTGTTTCTAGGCTCCCTAGGTTGCTCTGTAATGTACTGTGAGGTATCAGTCCAGCCAAACGTTTCTTTCATCAATGAGCAGAGTAATCTGTGTGAAACTTTACATGTGTCTTTACACCTCCAGGCATCCACTGTGACAATATCTGCACCCAGGGCCGCTGGGGACCCAACTGCTCCATCTCCTGCAACTGTGAGAACGGGGGGTACTGCTCCCCAGAGGATGGCACCTGTGACTGTGCACCAGGATACAGAGGACCCTTGTGCCAGAGAAGTAAGATTTTCCATGGATGCGGTGGGAAAAGCAAAATGGGTAGAAATGTATGACATGAGACAGACAGAGAGACAGGTTTCTGAGCTGCTTTAGCTTGTGACTGCCTAAGGGTAAAAGCTAGTCTAAAAAAGGCTTCTTGACCAAGAAGTCAAGGCTCTACTGCATTGAGTTGTGCCTTGTGTTTCTTCTTCTGGCCTTTCATAGCACCTGGAGGCCACAGTTGACTTGAAAGAAGGAGCCAAACCTCTACATACTAAACTTGGCAGGATCTGGGCAAAAGCAGATTTCCAGTGAAGTGCTGGTAAATTATAGGCTACCTGTTAAACAGAGTCAGCTCCAACCTGGCACATAATGACAAGTGGAGGAGCAATTGGCTATCAAAACAACATGACAGTGTTTTCTTATATGCCAAAAAAAGCAACACAGCAGCCTGAAATAGCTCCTGTCTGATGCTCTGCTGCTACAAATTGTAGTGTGCTGAGGAGAGAAAAATTCTCTCATTTGCTTTATATGGGAAGCTGCATTTGCCCCTTAGGGACCCTTATTCATTAATCCAGACTACACGCAACCATCTTGCTGTGTGAACAAGAAACGGATTTGTCTTTCTTTTCTGCAGCAGCTCTTGTACTTCCTGTAAGACATTCTGCATGCCCAATTCATATATCCCCTTTGATTCCACCAGTTACACTTGACACTAGAACACAGTCATCTCTAAAAATAATTTGTAGCTGACAGTTTTTATTTAAAGCCATTATAACGATGACCTCTAGCACTGCTGTAGTTAATGGCTTATAAGCATTTCCATTATAACCCCCAATTTCCGGGTGCTTCAGCATATCTGTATAGCTGTAAAACCTCTCTCCAAGGCTAAAATGTGGTGTTCAAAGCTTCAGGGAATTGGGAAAGAAATTGTTTTACAAATGTGAGACCTTAAGAGTGCAAAACTTCCAGAAGTTAATAGTTTCTGACCTTTCTGAGATAGAAAAAACAGCTAAGTTTTATCAGCTGATGGCATGTAGGCTACAAGAGGCAAACCATGTCCCCAGCTTGCAACACCAGTAATAAGGTTGCTCCCTGAGGACATTTGCTGAGAACCTAACAGGACAAATTTTCCTCCCCACTGGGGTGACAACAGAGGGGTTCTGTGGGTGCCTCTGCTATTGCCTCATGCCTCTCTGCGAGTGTGTGGCCAGGGAATTCGGGCTGCTCCCACCTCTTCTGCAGGATTCAGGCTCAGTCCTACCTTGTGAAGGGGACACCTCTGTAGGTCAAGGTGGCCTTAGCCTGCTAAGTTTGCATTCAAAATCATTCCCATTTTTCTCTTGAAAATTCATTCAGAAACAAAATTTAGCCTGTAAAGGTCAGGACTGAAGATGATGTGCAGCCAGCTTGTTCTGTCTGTGTAGTTGGGATTACATGAGACACTGGGGTAGTTTAGTGCTCTTAGGCCTGCAGAAATATCTCCAGGAATGATCCAGGTTGTTTTATAGCTAATGCATCATCAACAAACCTGTCAGCTAAGTCCCAGCTGGAAATCTGCAGTAGTGCGAGAACCTGACACCCTCTGTGAACATACAGACCCAGAGACAAATTCTCATTCTGTGAAAAAAGAGAACAGACATGATGTAGTAACCACTGAGCCAGAACTGTGTAACAGAGAATTACAGGAGTAAAAATAAAAACATATAAAGTAGTTTTTACAGTCATTTACTGCAGTTTAACATTTCTTTGTGCTTATCTCTAACGGTGAATGTTTGGACAGAGGATGGTTTTTCATTCTACACGTGCTTAGAAGCAACAGTACCCGTTTCTGAGAGATACTGAGCCATCATCTTGGCTCTGCACCTTAGGGACAGATTCTATGATAATTTCAATCCAGGTTTTAAGCAAATCAAGCACACAATTCATGACAGGTTTACTCAGCTATCCAATATGATTACTGATGCAAATTAGATGATTTTGTATGCTGTCACCATAATTACCATTTTTAGATTCTGCTCATCACTGATGGATGCTGCTCTTGCAATGCCATGTATAAACTGACTGTCCCAATGTACACAGGTATTGCACCTGCTATGTTTAGAAATCACATTCTGACACAGTTGTTTAGATGGAAAATACTGAGCATTTCCTAAATACATCTCCTCTGATTTCTTAGCTCAATTTCTTAAAGAAATGGCATTCTGAGTTTTTGTTTTCTGTGCATGTGTGTTTTTCTTCCTGCCTGTCTTGTTATCAGGTCTGCCCACTGTCTGCCAGTGGGCTATGAGGTCTCAAAAATCTTAAAACACTTTTGTAAAAGAGTTTAGGCAGAGCAGGCTAGAGAAACTCACATTAATGTCTTGAGAGAGAGAAGCTTCTGAAGGAGTTCAGCTGAGTTGTTTAATAGACAAAGACTTGCATGAAGAAGGATGGTGTGAATCTTTGAACCACAGTAACGGTTTCATTAAGAGCTTGCACTTTATTAGACGTGGAATAATCCAACAGGCTTCATCATCTCAGATGTTCACAGAACTGTGTTTTTATAAAACTAAGAAATGCTGGTTTGGGGTTCAGACAGAGAGAATGCTAAAGCTTCTAGCAATGAGATATCTTTGAAAACCTGTGACAAGTTGTTTTGTTTTGTCTTCAGTTTGTCCCCCTGGCTTTTATGGGCAGCACTGCAGCCAGGCGTGCCCTCAGTGCGTGCACAGCAGCGGGCCTTGTCACCACGTGTCAGGACACTGCGACTGCTTGCCGGGATTCTTTGGCACTCTCTGCAACCAAGGTACTGAGCCCAAGACCCCCACGTGCCACCTCCTTTCCTACAATTCTGTGTCAGTGACTTTGCAGCAAGACTGTTCACAAGGTTCCTGCCATTTTCCCTCGTTTTGGGAGTTTAGATCACAAGAAATTCTTTACTTCAGAGGTAAAATGCAAATAGGTAGTCACCCTTTTGTAAATATGATGTGCTCCTGCTTTCATAAATAAACCAGGTCTGTTGCTCTGTATTGAAATGAATATGGAATGAGACACGTGCTGTAAATATAGCAGCCAGCCAGTGGTTTCATTTGCCTTTTTGCTAAGCCTCCCAGATCCTAAATGTCAATGGCACCTTCATGCACTCCTCCTCAGCAGCAGGTGGAGATAGCAGTGAAGGTAAAGGCCAGCTCACGTACACAGGCCCAGACCTTGCATGGAACCTTATTTACACTGTCTAGGACCTGACTGGGAATAGTTAAAATCATCCCCACCTAAGCACAAGTTCAGGAGACAGAAAAATTTGCAATGATGTAGGGAAGGTGAGATAATTTTGACAGGTAAAGAGTAGCTTCAACTCCCTAGGGAAAGTGAGATAATTTTGACAGGTAAAGAGTAGCTTCAACTCCCTCTAATGTCCATCAACTTCTTATACATCTTGAAGTCCACTTTTAACCATAGGTTCCATTTCCAGTCTCTATCCTAGAACTGCCAACAAAATCCTTGCAGTATCCTGCAGAGTCTCAGATACTGCATCATACTGTGGGTATTTTCCTCATACAGATTTGAAAGAGAGTATTCATAATGACTACTGCCCTTGTGAAGTCACTGGCCTTGTAAAAAATGAATGGACACTTTTTAATGACCTGCTTTTCAGGAAGTTAGAAATTGCAGACAGCAAAACCATTAAGCATAGATTAAGTATAACCCTGTTTTCTTTGTGCTGTATAGTCAGCTAAACATTATACCAATTAATTTATTAAAATTAACGTCTTTCAGTGAATTTGTCCATTTTATGTGCAAAGTTAGCCAGATTTCAAACTGTAAGCAGGGCTAATTATCCTCTTAAGAAAACTATTTTATTTTTGCTCAGATGTTCAGAACTTCTGGTTTTACTTTGAAATGTTGATCTATCCAGCAAATTAATTTAAAATATTCATGTCCTAATTAAAATCAATTTGTGTTGCAGTTTGTCATAATGAGTTAGCATGTAACTTTATTCTGTAGAAAGAAAAAATGCTAATTAATGTTTTCCATTAGAAGAACGTGGAACAAAGATTTCACTGGTGAATTTTCATCTCCTTCTGCTGTCTCTTCTCTGGCAGCAGAAAAAAAATTCTTCCACCAGCAGTACATGCATGTGGGGAGCTGCATCACCTCTGAAATGGCAGGGATTGACATGGTTGTGCTCAGGATTCTGAGCAGCAAACAACTGAGCAGCTGTTTTCTAAGTATCTTCCACAATCATGTAGCAAGATGGATTGATAATAACTTGTTATCGCTGCTAGAACACACCTGACATCCCACAGGGACTTTCAGAGTCCCACTTCAGAGCTTTTAGAGCTAATTAACATCACTATCTGCATTGTACAATCAGATTGCTCCTGAAGAAAGCCACTAGTCCTGACTTTACAGCTTTGTTTAACCATGTCTGAGACATTTGAAAAAGTGCTCCTGTTGGGATCTCACAACTTAACAAGAGAGTCACTGTGTCAATCCACAACGGGGTGACTCAAACTAATGAGAAGAGCCATTTTGACAGGATGGGGTTTGTAGTCCTGTGTTGTCATTCTAGAAGGTATCCCACTGTTTCACCAGGACAAGGGGTGCACACACAGGAACCCCCCTGCTTGCTCTCACTGCCTGGAACTGAAGCATTGCTTTGCTAAAGTATGACCTGTTGCCTTTGTCAGCATCAGTGTTTGGATCAGAAATCTGTCCCTGATTCATTAGTATTCCATGTTGCAGTGCAAATCACCTCCTATTTTAAGTCTTTTGAGAACTATTTTCTTGTACATATAAAAAATCCAACCTTCATATAAGTGATATTATCTCTCTCCATCTTAAAGATGCAATAAAAATATTGCACTGACCTGCTTTATATAGGACATTGGAACCAAATAATGGGGGACCATGTAGGAGAACCTAGGCTGCCAGCTCATTTCAGTTTTTGCTCTTTCCGTGATATGAGGGCTTTTCTTTCCTTCTCTCTCTCTTTTTGTGTCTGCGTATTGTTCTTTTCACTGTGTCTGTATATTGCGTTTAGTTTTATCTCTTTTCGGTTAGAGAACTATTCTGTTTAGCACATAATTTGAAAACCAAAACCAACTTTATCCATTCCTACAGATAAGTCCACAGTGTGTAGAAATGCATGCAGGAAACAAGAGTGTGCACATTGTTAGGTTTCTGCCATAGTAAGAGTAGATGGTGGCATATTGTATTAAAGCAGATGAATCACAGCTCAGGATTTCAATCTGTGGTGGATTCAGAGTCACGATAGATTGAGGTCACCTGCAAAGACTACATATGAGAAAGTGAGTGGCTGAAGTGGGAAAAGAGTTGCATAATTCAGGGAAGTGCCTTAATCACTTTTTTGACATCGCTATTATTTACCAGGATACCAGTCCAGTTCCATTTGTTAGATTCTTTGCAAAGATGGACTATATGTTTTATCATGTTTTGGAAATACATCTGTTTTTGTCAGCGAACGCAGCCAGTAAGAGCACAGAAATTAAACATTTCATTCACTACTGAGCAGAGCTTTCCATCAACTTTAACTTTAAAGATTTCCAATAATTTGGTGGGAGGCAGAAGATCTACGTGTCTATTAGTTTTATGTCACTGTGCTTAGGCTGTTATAAGATGACTGAAAAAAAATTAAAGTTTCTTTTATTCCAACTTCAGGAGTAAGGAGTAATAGAGGATGACTTTGTTAGGATGCAGCACGTGTTTAACAGCTCTCAATCAAACATTATGTATAATCCTTGGAAACCACATTTGCAACCAAATTGAGCACGTATTCCAGCAAAGGGCACAGGAGAGGGATAGCTGGACATATGCCAAAAGACAAGTATGACATTTCAGCAATTGGATATGTAGAAGTCTTCCAACAGACTTACATGGTAAAAATACTTCTGGAGGTGGCAATCTTGCTCCTGGTTCAGTGGAGAGCCTGATTGGAATCAACAAGATGCTGGGAGTCTGCCTCCCACCAGCAGTGCTGAAAGCTCATCTTCAGCAGAGTCTGGTGGGTTTAGGAGCAAACCTCTCACCACTGAGAGGTCAGTCTGAGTTTCTGTCTGGTCAGAAAGAATGAGGACACTGATGAGGTTGAAACTCCAGTACACCCCATCTTGCAGCACCACATGATGCATTTTGTGGTGGCAGTGGGACTGCAGGGAAAGGACTACAGCTCTTCCAGCTGCTACTCCTTGAATTATCTTCAACTTTACTATCCTCTTCCTCTCCCAACAACCCCTTTTTTCTTTTTTGTCTCGAGATGCTGGGAGTCTGCCTCCCAACAACCCCTTTTTTCTTTTTTGTCTCTGTTCTTTTTATCCTTCCATAATATCCTTCAATAATTGCAGTCTTCTAACTACATTAGATTCATTTTCAATCAGAAAAAAACAAAATAGACTTGAATACTTTCTGCCTTTTCTTTCTTTCCACAAGAATTTTGCCCTTTTGGCTTCAGCAAAGAAAAATGTTGTCATTATTTTATCTCTAATTGCTAAATGTTAAGTCCTGTAACTTCCTTATATTCATTATGAAGAGCCTTCAGTAACTGCCTTCTATTTTCACAGTCTGTCCCACTGGAAAATATGGGAAGGACTGTGCTGAGATCTGCCAGTGCACCGAGAATGGGACGTGCAATCCTATTGATGGATCATGCCAGTGTTTTCCAGGCTGGATAGGGACTGACTGCTCACAGAGTAAGCAGATTGTTATTTATCCACCCTGGCTTTAAAATAACATATTTTCCTGTTTAGTGTTTTCTGAAAGGTAAAGGCAGATCCTGGGGAAATCTCTGAAGTATCAGAGCAGTAGGTGCCTTACTCTCCGTATAGCTTAGTTCTTTTAATTAATCTAAGTTAGCTTTGGCTTGAGTTAGTTTCTGCATTTGGAATTTGCAGAGGCCATTACTAGCTTATATCACAGGGAAGAGAGGTCACAAGCTGTAATCAGAAAAGAAAGCTCCATTCTCCCTTTTAATTTCTAGCTGGATTCCCTTTTGTTTATTTTTTGAAATCATTTTCTCTCAGCTATTACATTAGAAATTATTAACCAGTAAATGTTTTCATGTACCAAGCCCCCAGAACTGAGAAATTAGGCAGCTGAAATATTTCTATTAAATGTAATTTAATTGTAAAAGTCAGTGTGGGCTTGGAGGGATGGAGGATTTCTTCTTGAAAATTGCCCAGGTAGGAGATTGGCATTTGCTGATCCCAAAGTGGCATTTCCTGAGTGCATCCCTTAATTGAAGATAGATCACAGTGGGAAGCAATATTCTATCATTCAGAAATGTTACTTCATATTCAGGATACAACTAGTATATTAGACAGCATTCCAGAGTAAAAGATATTAAACTTCAAGTGATAAAGTAGGAATCGGATAAAAACAGACAGCTGTAATTTTACCTTTATTGTGTGTCTTCTACAGGCAGAATATTGCTGTCACTCAAAACCAGAAAAAATAAAAGGAAAAAGACAGAAAGATCCGAGATTCCTCATTATATTTAGCCATGTAATTGGGAAATGACTGTTAGTTTCTGTTAACCTTGAAAAAAGATCGTTTTTCCTGTAGAGTGAGGCAGGCCAGTTCAGCAGCAACACTTCCCAGTTTAGCAGGCAGAAGGACGGGGCAACAGCCACTTTGTATTTTGGATGGACAAAGTGGGAACCTGCCTGTTTCCTCAGTTACCTTCTTGCAAAGCAAGTGCAGATCTCCCAAGGAGAGCCTGGCCTCACACCAGGCTCCTGGGGACACCTGGCTTCACATTCCAGGGTCTGGTCCTGGGCTATTTTGGTCAGACCTCCCTTCGCACCAGTTAACCTGGAATGACCTGGAGATGGAGCTGCTCCTGAGATAATTTTAGGTCCAAGTCCAGAGCCAGTTCTGGAGACACTAACAGCCCCTGCAGCTCTGGCTTACAAAAGCACTGTGAAAGTATTCCTGGTTGCTTATAGCAAGGGTACTTTAGGTGAAATCCTGTTCATCTTTACATTGTGTGAATTCAGTGACCTTCTGTTTGATTTACGTCACGGCAGGGTTTTTTTTGCTATTCATTCTGGCTGTAGAGATGTCTGTCGTATGCCAGAAACTTGCATTTTTTGTCATAACTGGAGCCAGTGGCATGCATGGAAATAGGCACAGTGTCTGTCCTTTCAGTTTTCCTGGGAACCATGCCTTATTAATTCATGTCTTCAATAAGAAGCAATGAAAAGTGCTTTTTAAAGCAAAAATATAGTTGTTATATTAAAGGGTTATAATAATTTTTTATCTTTTAATCTGGCACTAATAACTGTAACTTACTGCACTCATTTTTGGAGGGAGGCTTAAAGTAAATTTTGAAAATGCATTAATATTTGTACTTGTTGAAATATAAAATAGACCTGGAGATTTTAATTTAATATTAGCCCCATCAACAAAAGCAATCTAGTTGTTTGGATGGGAATTCATCCTGTAAGAAGTTTTCTTTACATTTGTACATAATTGGAGTAGCACTCTGTGCTTCAAATTAATGTGGTGATTTTAGGAGTGGATTGCATAGCAAAAGGAAACCATTAATAGAGGGCCTTTTTTATGCAAGAATTGCAGGATATCAAAAGGAAAATTAAATTACTATCCTATCTTAAAACCCTGACTAAATTGCCTTCACAGATAATGCTGGTAAGGCAGGGAGAGCACTTGGAGAGATATAGTGTCCAGGCTGGCTGTTTCAGTGCTACTCAGTGAGTATTTGCAGCGAAGACCTAATCCTGCCACCTGACCTACGTGGGGAAGAAATCCCTCCTGTCAGGGCTTGCTGGCCTGTCTGAGGTTGCAGGTTGGCACCTGGGTTTGCAAAGCAGTTGTCAGGACATCACTGCAGCAGTGCCACGCACTGCAATGCAAAGTTCAGCCCTTGATGGTGGCTCCCAGGCTCCTTTATTATTGTTCCTCTGCTAATGCACTATCATTGCTTGCTTTTTTTTCTTTCTTTTTTTCCTTTTTTTTTTTGTCAGCTGACAAATCTCTTTTATTTTCATAGCTTGTCCCACTGGTTTCTGGGGCCCTGATTGCTTCCATTCATGCAACTGCCACAACGGAGCAATGTGCAGCCCTTACGATGGAGAATGTAGATGTACTCATGGTTGGACGGGGCTCTACTGCACTCAGCGTAAGCCTTTCAGAGACACTGTTGTGCCAGGGAATCTGTCAAAGTAGGTGCTGCTACCTCGTGTCTCTTCCAAGTATTGCAGTCTTCCCTGGAAAACCACTTGCTGCTTTGGGATAACTTCCCATCACCCCGAAGGGAATAGTCCTGGAGCTTTTCAAGGTTTTTTGGGGCCTTTGACACTCGATAAAGGAGGCACTGATGATTCAGATTATTGAGTCATTGTCTGATTTTGCACAGTCTGTGTCCCTGCTTATTAAAGCCTCAGTATATGTGGACAGATTTAAGAAAATCTTTGAGATTTCTAATCGTACTGGTGCCAAATTACCAGCTCCACATGAAAGAGGAGGTCAGAATCTGGTGAAGGGGACCCTTTCACTTGCCAGTAATTGATGGATCTCTGACCTTCTAGAGACTTTCTGCTTAGCCATCTTCTTCACTTCTTCAAAATGTAGTTTGTATAGATGGGTCAAGTTTTCATTCTTCTGAAACACTTAAGAGGCAATTCTGTAAGAGCTGAGAATCACTACTTCAAGAAAATTGGCTGTCACAGTATCTCTGCGTTTAGATGATCAAATAAATGCTATTAAATATACAGAGGGTAAAAATCCATAGATTTATAGGCCTACATATTTTGTGCTGATAATGCATCTGAGCTTGTGTTTCAGCTTCTTAGTCTTTCCTTACTCTGATTCCTGAAAGGTTGCCCAGCTGCTTTTTATGGAAAAAACTGTGCCAATGTTTGTCAGTGCCAGAATGGAGCAGACTGTGACCACATCACTGGCCAGTGCACCTGCAGGACAGGGTTTACAGGCAAACAGTGTGAGCAAAGTAAGTAGCAACATTGCTGTGTCTCTCCAGGGTGGGGGTGTATTTCAGAATTCTTTGCAGAAATTGGCTCTTAAATGAGGTGTTGATGTCAGCAAGACAATAACCCCAGGCACCTTATATAACCCATAGGGAGAAGAAGGCATCTTTGTAAAGCTGATCAGGCTGCTTAAGCATAAAGAAATGCAGTGAATCCTCTGCAAATTAGGCCTTTCTATTCCCAGGATAAAGTTAGGTCAGAGAAAGGCAAGTTATTGCACTCAGGTCTGACTGAATGTAGCCCACATGAACTGAACAACTTGTACCTGATTAACAGAAAAACACAAGCTGCATCATGCATTGCCAACACTGTTGAGAACAACAGCATCAGGTTTCCCTAGGCATGAAGGAAGACAGAAGTGTTAAAGAAGTCCTTTCTGCTCTCTGTCTTCCAAGGAATAGTGGGGTTTTCGTGCACAAGTTATTCTGTAGTTCTGGGTCAAATAAAGATTCATCTTCACAATGAAAACAGATCCAGTGGGGGGGGAAGAAGGTTGCTTGCCATTTTTTGAAGGATCTGCATGTAACTTGCATAGTAAGCAAGTGTTTAACAATGAACTTCAATTACCTTGCAAGGAGCCTGGCATATCTTACTGTAATTGTTGTTGATGTCTTGCTGGCATATTTAGCATGCTGTGCCAAATGGCTTCTTTCAGAGGAAAGAACTAGGGTGATGGAAACTGTATGTGCTGTAGCTGAATAATTACTTGTTTGTCCACTGTAGTAAATCAAAAGAAAATTTTCACACAGTTACTTGGACTCTAAATGCAGAGTGAAATCTGTCTCACCTTACCAAGGATTTTGTTCCTTTTTTTTGGCAATAAGGTAATATGGCAACATTCCTG